GCTGCTCCTTCCCCTTCCTAGTCCCATGCCCACTGGGAATTACTGATGGCTCTATCCACTCCAGTGCATACAAAACAAGGTGAATGAAAGGTACCCCCTGTATACTCAAGAAGACATACGACACACTGAGCTTTACCCAACACTCGGAATATGAGTGTATTGACCTTTCAGAGACAGAATCTGCATAACATATTGTCTGATGTATGGAAAGTTAGTGTATGTTCAACTTGTTTTGTGTTTGGGTTTTTTTTGGGGGGGTCTTAAGGTAAGAATTAGCATTTCAACCAGTCAGCTTGTTTGGTATTTACCTACCAATTCTGTCATTGTACTGGCTGGCATTGCCCTAGTAATGGAGGAAAAAAAATCTTCAGGCTAGATAGTCATATACTTCTGTTTATATATGCCACACATGAGTTGTCTACCTTACTTACTTTTTTGCAGTAGATATTTTCTTAACAGTTGGCTGCAAATTGAATTTTTAGAAATCAAACCCCCCTAGCTGCAGGAACATATCAGATAAGCTTTATCTTCCTTTCTAATTAAACATTACTAGGCAGTGACTCCAGGTACTTAAGTTTTCAAGGACCCCTCCTTCCCATTCTTTTTGTCAAGTAATTGATTTGTAAAGAAGTATTTAAGTTCCCTGGTGAGGCTTCCTGTTTAGAGAAGGTCTGCAATGAAGGTTACAAATTTGGATTTTTCAAGTTTGAATTTTAATATTTTATAATCATTTTCTCAAAGTATAGCATGTTTGTGCCTGTGTCATTTGTTTTGATGGTAAACCTAAGGCCAGACTTCCTTCTGCTGCTGGCCCAGTGGCAGGCATCAAAAGAAATATGAGACTCCAGATCTTCCTTCTAAAATAAATTTTAAAAACAATAAGAGAGCTGGGCCAGGTGGCTCACGCCTATAATCCCAGCACTTTCTCAGGGGTTCAAGACCAGCCTGAGCAACATGGCAAGACCTCATCTCTACCATAAATCAACAAAATTAGTCGGGCATGGTAGCGCATGCCTGTGGTTCCAGCTACTTGGAAGACTGAGGCAGAAGGATCACCTGGCCAACAGGCTGAGGCTGCGGTGGCTGTGAGCATGCCATTGCACTCCAGCCTGGGTGACACAGTGAGACCCCGACTCAAAAAAAAAGAGCGAGAAATCAGGCAAACACTGATAATGGTACTTTCCCAGTTGCGGGTGTTTTGTTTTCATTCCCTAAGGTTTTTGTTAGTATATGGACTCACTATGGGTAGAGGAAGACGTTGAAAGAATAAGAAAGGAGAATCATCAACACTTATGTAGCCCTCACCGTGTTCCAAGTACTGCCAGCTCACATTTAAAACAATCACAGGAGGAGGTCCCATTGCCATCCCCATTTACAGAAGGAAAGACTGAGGCTAGTATTTGCCAGAGCTGGAATTCTAACCTAAGCAGTCTGATTCTTGGGCCCATAATTAGAAAGGGGGCATCAAAAAGGACCTTGAACAGAGTCAGTGGTACAGGTCGAATTTTTAATTTTGATAAAGTCCAATTTATCACTTATCCTCTTTGACAGTTTGTGCTTTTTGTACCTATTTAAGAAATCTATATCTAATTCCGGGACACTAGGATTTTCTCTTATGTTTTCTTTCAGAACTTTTGTTATTTTAGCCTTTGCATTTAGTTCTGTGATCCATCCCAAGTTAACTTTTGGGATAGTATAAGATAAGGGTATAGGTTCGTTCTTTCTTCTTTCTTTTTTTTTTTGTTTTAACATAAGAGTATCCAATTGTTCTAGTACCATTTGTTGAAAAAAAATTATCATTTCCCCATTGAATTGCCTTGGCACTTGTTGAAGAAAAAAATATTCAATGATGTTTGTTTCAGATGGTAAGGCAGACTTTATTCAAGGTGAAGTTCATAATGATAGGTGTCGGAACCACTGCAATGGTATTTTGCAGTGAAAGATAGAGATTGGGCTCAACTTCAATACAGCCAAGGAGCAGGGTAGGGGTAGGTGGATGGGAAATTACCAAGAGGAAACAGCAGCAGCAGGAAGGGATGCTGGTTAAACTAACCCAACAGGATCCTTGCTGATGTCAGGCCCGGGTTATCATACATCACCTGGGAGAGGGTGGAGACTGAGGAACCTGATCAGACATCAAGGGTGATCAGTTACTGTCTCTGTATAACATTAGAATTGATTTGCTCAAGTTTTGAAACGGATTTTTGCATCTGTGGTTAGTGAAGGGTACAGGAAACAGCCAGAGGGGCGGCTCCCAAAATGGCGCCCAACATGGTAAAGCCACACTAGACAACAAAGGCCCTAGGTTCCGGCTTCTTCATGCACGATTCCCCTCGTGTGCGAAGTTCAAACCTGCAAGCCTCCAATCATTTCCCATGACGTAACTAGCTTTGATATACCCACCCTGCTCCCATGCCGCTCCTCCAATAAGAACCTAGCACAGCCCCTTCCAGCCCCTGCCAAACCCATAAATACACCCCTCTCCCTGCATAACTCTCTCTTGCTCTCTTTCAAACTCTCTCACTCTCTCTCCCCCTCTCTCACTCTCTCTCTCCTTCCCTCTTTCTCTCTCACTCACTCTCTCTCTCTCTCTCTCTCCCCGCCCCCTCTCACTCTCGCTCTCTCGCTCTCTCTCACTCTCTCTCACTCTCTCTCTGTCTCTCCCCCTCTCTTGCTTTTTTTTCAGTTACAGACACTCTCTGTAACAGCCCCTTTAATAAACCTCTTGGTCTCGGCCGGGTGCGGAGTCATTACTGGCGCCAAAATCCTTTCAGTTAGTAAAGGAATTCTTGTTAAAGGTGTAAGCTCACAGGTTTAAAAGAATGGAAGAGGAGATACAGCACATAAGAGATAGTAATTTTTACAAGGATGTGTGGTGATTGATTTGGCAGCTAAGAGAAGACTGGAACATAGGCATGGTGTGTGGGGGGTTAGAATAGATCAAGGAGCAAACTCATTCATACCACAGAACCTCAAGAGACTCAAGCAGGCTTCAGAGAGGATCAGGAAATGAAAATATCAGGTCTCTCTGCAGATTAAGAATACGATACATATAAAAATTGATTTGTAAAAATCTTTAAAAGGAATAGTTAGCACCCTGCCCTATGCCAATCCCCTTCTCTATTTTGTCAAAAAATTAGAAAAGTTTACTCTTGGTCAGGTGCGTAGCTCATGTCTGTATTCCCAGCACTTTGGGAGGCTGAAGCAGAAGAATTGCTCAGCCCAGAGTTCAAGGCCAGCCTGGGCAACATCAGCAAGACCTCATCACTACAAAAAAAAATTAGCCAAACATGGTGGCATGCACCTTGTAGTCTCAGCTACTTGGGAGGCTGAGATGGAAGGATCTCCTGAACCCAGGAGGTTGAGGCTACGAAGAGCCATGTTTATGCCATTGTACTCCAGCCTGGGTGACAGAGTAAGACTCTGACCCAAAAAAGAAAAAAAATTACTCTCTAGAGAAAGTGAAAGTGATATGGCCTGGAATCAGAAGCATTAGACACAACTAAATTTGAGAATAAACAAGACCTTACAATTAGACACAGATCCAAACCCCTACTTCCTCTCTTGATTCAAATGACCTACAGATGAGTTCATGCTCCCCAGAGAGGATATTGGCAAATTCCTCTCTAGAAAAACTAACCAGCCCAAAGAAAACATCTCAGATATTGAACTATGGGGATTCCCCCCAAAATGGATGCCTCTCATCCTGTAGTGACACTTCACCAGCCCACAAAATTGCCTAGACACACAGAAGTTTTGTTGTTTTTTTATTTCCAGTTAGCTTTTTAGTGTCTCACATGTAAAGATGAATGGGCAGTGAAAGATCACCAGATACTGGAGAAAAAAAATCCCTAATGTGAAAGACAGAGGCCAAAATGAAGAAACAAAAAAAGTATCGAGATAGAAAAAGATCATTCAGGGAACAAAAGAAGTCAAAAAATTCTCTGTTTTCCCCAGAGAGAGAAGAGAATGAATGCATCCATGAAAGAAAAATGAGAGGCTCTGAAAAGAGAACATTCAGGGTAATAAACAGGAATGAAAATGCAGGACCTACTGTTTGAAAATTAAGAATTTCAAGGTAGCAGTAGCATAGCGTTCCACCAAGTATAGGGCCCTTCTGAGCATGGGGACCTGTGTGACTATACAGGTTGCACACCCATGACACTGGCGCTGAGAGTAAGAAAACTCTTGGAAATAAAATATATAATAGCATAAATAATAAAATTGAACAGAATGGTTGGAAGACAAATTATGGAAATTGCATAGAAAATTGAACAAAAAGATGGGGGAAAAATTCTACAAAAGTAGAAGATAGTTCAAGGGATTAACAATGTAAATGTAGTCAAGTTCCAGAAAGACAGCAGGAAAAACAGAAGGAAATAATTCAAGTCAAGTTCCCAGAACTAAAAGACACAAATTTATAGGTTTAAAGGTTTAAGGCAAGGCACATAATTATGAAATGTTGAATTACGAAGGATAAAAATAATTTCCCAAAAATTTCCAGAGAAAAGCAAAGCAAAAAAATCCCATCATGTTGAAAGGATTGCAAATCAGAATGGCAGCAAAACCATAATGTCAGTTTAGACCAAAATTGTGATATAATTATTTTGAGAGGCTTGGGGAGAAAAGCAGGGGGTTAGAAATAAAACAAAACAAAGTCCTTATCTACCATAGTAGGAAGTCAGTTGGTTGTCTCAATGAAAACTCAGGAAATTCAGTAAGCAAAGCATGCAATTTAGAAAATTAGAGGTAAAACAAACAGTTGGGGAAAGAAAGATACTTATTTCAACTACAAGAGTCAAAGACCTTGAGTGTAGAAATTGTGGGTTGGGGAGAGAAACTACTGTTTTTTCAGTACAAACTTTGGAGAACGAGTATCTTTGTAACAACATGTGCTAATAATTTTAAAAATTAAAATTGGATTAAAAAGTAGATAAGGATTTGCCTGAGAGATGTGTGGGATCCAACAGATGTGACAGTAATGCCTCCTCTCTCTTCAGATTCTCGATACATTCTCCTGCCTGTCGTGTTACATCACCTCCACATTCACCTGCAAGAACAGAAGGACCTGATCATGTGTGCACGTATCCTTAGCAACGTATTTTGTCTCATCAAGAAAAATAGCTCAGTAAGTAAATACAGGTCATAGTGTGTAGTTCCCAACAAATGGCTTCTGGAAATAAAAGTGTAAATGTCTACAAAGAGACCACACTGAAGTGGAACCTTCTGAGACTCTCACTTTTCTTCCAGCTGGGCTGGACTTTATGCTTCTCTTCAGAAGGAATTTTTTAACCTTGTGGGATTGCTGTAACCCCAGATAACCTTGGTTCCCTAAACTTGTATTTCAAGGAAGAACTGAATACCGAGTGAGAAAAATTAGAAATCTCAAAGCCTCCTACATGTGTCTTTAATCTTGATATGATGAATGCTCTGTGGCAAGAATAAATTACTGCTTGCAAAGTGAAGTCGTTTTTGGCCCTTCCTATGAAAGGCTGCATCATGATGCTCAGAACTTGGCCATGGCCCTTGGGCTGGGTCCCATGGAAATTGCAGAAGCAAAGGACAGTCCCAGGAGACTAGGATTATCTTGCAGCAAAACCATTACTCAGCCCCAGCAGTGATTCGTGTCAACGTGCCCTACTCTTGATACAATACAATTATGTTGGAGAATGCAGTGTAAAGTGAGAAAAATCTCATGCTGGCTTTTACATGAGACAACTCAGAATATTCGTGTTCATGGCTCAGGGGGCTGATGTGAAATCCGCATATTGAGAATGTCCTGCTCCAGTTCTGTCAGTCTGCAGCTGTTAATTAAGCATTTTACTCATAGGTAACAGGTTTTCCAGAGCAGATTTTGGCAGTGAGTGGCTGAAACTTCTGTTTCTCTGCTTCCCTGTTACCTCTTTGCTACAGTTTCCCCATTTTGTCATTTATAATATCAGCTTCTGAAGATCAGTGAGCTGGAATGGGACCCCAGTGGAGGTGTTGGAGATAGCGCCCAAGAAGCGTGGGAACAGAGTTGGCATTTGAGAGAAAAAGATTAGAATCTCAGCATCCAGAAGTGTAATAAGAGGAGCCTGCATGGAAAGGGGTAGTCAACTTTTCTCCACCCACATGATCCAGCCCTCAAGAGCAACCTGGAACTGCATAAAACAAGAGTGACAGAGAGATGTTATTAGTTCAGCTTTAAAACTCTCTCTATGCAACTAAATAAAGACTAACCATTCTATGCCTAGAGTGTTTTTCCAAATTATATTTGCTGAGAGTAAAAAGTAAGTTAGAGGCCAGGCTCGGTGGCTCAGCCTGTAATCCTGCGCTTTGGGAGGCCGAGGTGTGTGGATTGCCTGAGCCCGCGGGTTAGAGAACTGCCTAGGCAACTTGGCAAGACCTCATCTCTACAATAAATCAAAAAATTAGCTGGGCGTGGTAGCGCACACCTGTAATTCCAGCTACATGGAAGGCTGAGGTGGAAGGATTGCCAGAGCCCAGCAGGTCGAGGCTGCGGTGGCTGGGAGCGACAGAGTGAGACTTCAACTCAAAAAAAACAAAAAAACAAAAGTAAGTTAGATACTTTACTACACAAAAACAGATAGCAGTGATAGAGGTGATTTTTTTTTTAATTTTCTTCTTGTCTATTTCAATTTGGAAGTTGGAGTCAGTGTTTGAACTTACCTGATAAAAAATTCAGAACTGGAACCAATTCATTTGGGGGGTTGGGGAATCTTGGTAGTTTTCTAGCAAGTATAAGAAAATTCATAAAATCCTGGCCAAAAAGTCTCTTTCAGACTCATACTTTCTAAAAGTATTATTTACAAAAAGCGGTCTTCATGGTTAGGAACATTTGTACATAGTTTTGTTTTTGTTCATTATATTCATGTTAACATAACATGAGTTACCAACGAGTGTACTTCACAAAACATCAATAACATCAGACCCCTGAACCACAAACACGGAGTTCGCGGAGTTGTTCCATGGGTAAGCCAGCATGCTATTTTTTTCATTTTACACTGCATTCTCCAGGGCAATTGCATGGGATAGTCAGTGTACACAAATCCCTTATATACAATTAGCGCATCACAATTTAGGTTTCTCTTTCAAGCCTGGGGGCTTGGATAGTGTTAACTTTGCATCAGGAAAGCAGTTCTCACTGTGGCCCTGACCCTAGGTCCACTCTGTAGCTAAGGTTACTGTTGAATGTCATTTCCTAATATTTATATGTAGGGTTTTTTTTTTTTTAGTTTTTTTTTTTTTTTGAGTTGGAGTCTCACTCCATCGCCCAGGCTGGAGTACAGTGGCATGCTCACGGCCACCCCAGCATAGACCTGCTGGGCTCAAGCAATCCTTCCGCCTCAGCCTTCTGAGTAGCCAGAACTACAGGCATGCGCTACCATGCCCAGCTAATTTTTATTTATTGTAGAGACAAGGTGTCTCCAAGTTGTCCAGGCTGTGTATGGTTTTTTTTTAATCTTTTTTTGTAGGAATAGTCACTTGTACTTAGCATAGAATTTTAGAAGATAACCAGTGCAACTCTAGTGATGAGAAGAGAGAGTGTAAGTACAATCTGAAACCTAGGAATTAGAAACTTTAAAAGCTGGATGGACTTTCAGTGAAGAATCAGGCCCGGAAAGCAAATTAGTTACCCACAGCCACATGGCCTGTTAGGACATAGCTGATGTTCTTAGTGAGTCTGGTATGCCTTCTGTGACACCACTCACCTTTTTTTCTTTTCTTTTCTTTTTTTTATCGGGGTCTCTGTCTTCCAGGCTGGAGTGCAGTGACATGATCACAGCTTACCACAGCCTTTACCTCCTTGGCTCAAGCAATCCTTCTTCCGTAACCTCCCAAGTAGCTAGCATTGCAGGTTGCTAAATTTTTTAATAGATTTTTTTTTTTGTGGAGACAAGGTCTTCCTATGTTGCCTAGGCTGGTCTCAAACTCCTGGGCTAAAGCAATCTTCCCACCTTGGCGTCTCAAAGTGCTGGAATTATAGACATGAGCCACTATGCCCAGCCATACTACCTATCTTTTTATTTTTATCTCAGGTATCCATTGTGCAGTCGAGTTGTGTACTCTTGGGTAAGCCATGAACTTCTCTGTACCTTTTGTTTTCTGTAAAAGAAAATCAGTCACTTTGGTGAAGTCCAGGTCTTCCAAGCTGTCAGATTATCTGACTCTTTGATTCTATTAATATATTTGGAAATAAGCTTTGTCTCTTTTTCTGTTAAAGATAATTTAATATGTTAGGCCTCAAATTCCTGAACACATTGTTTTTTTTTCTCTTAGGAAAAATCTGTGTTGGAGGAAATAGATGTGATAGTAGCTAGCCTGCTGGACATACTACTGAGAACCATATTGGAGATCACCAGCCGACCTCAACCGTCCAGCTCAGCAATGCGGCTCCAGTTCCAGGATGTGACTGTAAGATCATAGAGCAGATGGCACGCAGAGCAGGGCTGGTTGTGCTCATCAAAACTTAAGTCACTTTGCAAGTGGCTTGCTGTAATAATCTGGGAAATGTGGCCCTGGGAAAGTAACCTATGAACACTTCAAATATATGAGATTACCTTCACTTTACAAAGAAACTAAGATATGAAGTATGTTTATTAAATGATCTTGGAATAGTCAGGGTTTTTTATTATTTTTTTTATTTATTTATTATTATTTTTGAGTCTCACTCTGTCACCCAGGTTGGAGTGCAGTGGCACGATTACAACTCACCACAATCTCCATCTCCTGGGCTCAAGCCATCCTCCCACCTCAGCCTCCTGAGTAGCTGGGATTACAGGCACATGCCACCATGCCTAGTTAATTTTTGGATTTTTTGTAGAGACAAGGTCTCACTTTGTTGCCTAGACCGATCTCAAACTCCTGGGCTCAAGCAGTCCCCCTGCCACAGCCTCCCAAAGTATTGGAATTACAGGCATAAGCCACTGCGCCCAGCCAGAATAATCCATTATTAATTTCAGAAAGCCAACTTTGGTATTAGTTTGTACTTTACCCAGTTCAAATTAACCCATGATTTTATATCCCCAGTCAACTCGGTAGCTTTTCACTCTAATTCCATTCATCAAATCGCTTGAGGAAATGAAGAGTGAAATGGAGCCATGGAAGTCAGGGGTCCTGAGTTTTTATTTTGAAGCTTTCACAATGACTAGTCAGGATCTTTTCCAGGCCTCAGCTTCCTCAGCTAAGAAAGAGAAGCTTTGACTTGGTAAATTCTAAGGTGCTTTCAAGTGTCACTATTTTATGAGTCTAATATATGCATACTTTTGATTCATATAAAATATAAGAGAATGGTAAATAAGATATCTGGCTTTATATATATGTATGTATCTGTATATTTCTGTATAAGGAAATTTAAATTGATATAGCCATTGTGGAAAATAGTGGCTCTCCTATACATACCATATATATAGCGTATGGATGGTTCGGTTTCTCACCTTCCTCAGCAGCATTTGATGGTGACACTTTTTTAGGGGTAGAGTGCATTCTGCCAAGTGTGTAGTGAGATCTTATTGTGGTTTTAATTTGCATTTCCCTAATGGTTATTGATGCTGAACATCTTTTTACTTTTATGCATCTATGTATCTTTTTCCATGAAATGTCTTTTTTCCATTTTTAAAAAAAGTTTTTTTATATAATTTTATTTATTTATTTATTTTATTCTTTTATAAGCATGTTCTCACTCTGTCTCCCAAGCTGGAGTACAGTGACACGATCATGTCTCACTATAACCTCAACTCCTGGGCTCAAGAGATCCTTCCTCCTCAGCCGCCTGTGTAGCTGGGACTATAGGCATGCACACCATGCCCAGCTAATTTTTTTTTTTTTTTTTTAGAGATGGTGTCTTACTATGTTTCCCAGACTGGTTTCAAACTCCAGGCTTCAAGCAATCCTCCTACCTCAGCTTCCCAAAATGCTGGGATTACAAGCAAGAGCCACAATACCCAGCCTTTCCCATTTTATAATTGGATTTTTTTTTTACTGTTGAGTTTTTTATATATTCCAGATACTAGTTATTTTCAATATGTGGCTTGTCAATATTTTCTCCCACCTGTAGCTTGGTTTTTCAGGCTCTTAGCAAAGTTTGCAGAGCAAAAATTTTTTAATTTTGATAAAGTCCAGCTTATTAATTTTTTCTTTTATGGGTCATGCTCTTGGTGTCAAGTCTAAACCTATATATTAAAGGTTATTTTCTAGTTTTTATCTTGAAAGCATTATAGTTTTATCTTTCACATTTAAGTCCATTACCATTTTGATTTAATTTTTGTATGTGTCAGATACTTCTAACACCTCTGACATCTCAATGTTGACATTTATGGAGTGTCTCTTTTCATTCAATCTGAGAGCTTCCTGGCTTTTGATAGGATGAGTGATTTTCTATTGAAACCTAAACAGTTCTGAATTATAAGATGTTGGATCGTATTTAAACCTTCTGTTGTAGCTGAATTTACATGACACCATCATCAGGGAACAGGGGTTGCCTATTCATTATGGTGGGAGATGGAAATAGAAGTCTGGGTTTCACATTGGACCTCCATTGGCACCTGAGGGAAGAAGACTCTTGGGTACTGCTGGGTGAAGATGGAGGTTCTGGCTTTTTACATAATCTCTGTTGACACCATGGCATTAGTGGCTTTGTTACTGCTGAGCAGGGGTGAATGTCCTGACTCCTACTGACAGAATAGGCAGGTTAGGCTAGGAAAACTTTAGGGCTGTAGGAAAGTTCCAAGCTCATTGATGCCTGCAGCAATGGGTACAGAACCACACACACATACAAGCCTAGCTATGGGATGCTTCACACTTACCTGTTAGGCTCTTAGCAGATTGTATCAGCACTGTAGTCCAGTCTATCCAGGATGCTTGTGGTTAAGAGCTGACCACCAAGGCAAGAACTAGCTTAGAGTCCCCCTAGAGCAAGTGTCTCAATAGTCAAGGTTGACCTAAGACAACAATACCTGTTTTTACCTTCATTATAATACTATGAACATAAAATTACCCTAGGGGAGCCTATCACTCCCATCATACACCTGATGCCATGTGACACTACCAGGAAGACCCTATAAGGCCTGAAATCCCCCCCGTTCCACTTAGGGAGGAGTACCAGAAACCCAACCTAAGACTACCCATTTCTAAGAAAAGCCCACCCCAAAACCCGCTTTTCCGTACCCCTAAGTTAGAGCTCAGCAATTCTTAGATGCAGAAGCAGTAGCTTTTTGCTGTTTCTGCTCACTCTCTTTTCTTGAGAGCATACTCTGCTTTGCTTAGTAAACCTACTTGTATAATCCCGCTTTTCTGTGTGACTGTTTGCCATAAACACAAAAACCTGTTGTTGACCATCTCACGCTGGGAGCAGCATCCCTTCTCCCAGTAACACTACTAGGAATCAGTCCTACCAGGCCTCCTCTGATACCACCCCAGTAGAGAGAGAGAAGTATGACTTATTACTACCAGGTTGCGGTGAGAGTGCAAGCCCCTCCCACTGTCTCCACTGACACTCATCAGTGGGGCATGAAAGTCCTGCTCCCTATCTGGCCTTCACCGGCCCCCCTCTGGTAGAGATGTTGGGGTCCCTCCTTACATACTCATGAAAGTGGAAGTCAAGGCCCCCCACTACACCTTCACAGGCATAGGTGAGGGTGAGGCCAATGTTTTTTGTGGGGTTTAGCAGATTAGAGCAGTTACTGCTAAAAATATTGCCTTGCTAGGCTGCCCCTTTCCTGGTCCTCGGCTACAGGAATAAGGTTTTGTCAGGCTTTTTCTTTAATCTACAACCATTGGTGTTTCACAGTTGCCAGCTTCTTCTGTACCAGGTCTGGGATACACAAGGCAAAAAGAAAACCCAGAGAACTCAACAGCTTGTTCTTCCTTGGGTCCCAAGATTCCTGGCCAGTCTGCCTTCTATTCTACCTTTCAGTCTTTTTCTGTTTGTTTTCTGTTTAATATTCAGGTTTTTAGTTGTACTTAGCAGGAGGAATAGGGAGAAGTATGTCTACCCTTTCACTCTGGAATAGGAAGGAAGTTTCCTTCGTTATAGTTCTGATGGTAATATTTCAACTGTATCTTGGCAATGCAGCTCTCACATAATTCTAAAATTATAATGGCACAGCAAACAAAATCATAGCAAATGCTGGACTCAGTTAAAGACTGCTTTAGGTCAAAAACTCAAACACTTTTCAAATTGCTTCATATTGACCTGCAAGGTGTGCACAGTTGTGGTGCACCAAATCTCTGTGGGATGTACGTAGTCTTCAGGCTATCACAATGTAATAATCAATGCAATTAAGAGACTTGAAGGCAGTGAGTCAGGTTTGTGGGTGGAGTTGGGAGTAGGGCAGGCAGAGTGATCGTGTACTAAACTGTAGGAAAATCACTGTAGCAAGAGCAGTACTGTAGCAAGTGCACCTCACCCTATGGCTCTGTGGTACCCCTTGCTGTGTGAAAAACCAAACTCTCAAGGTATGCAGGATGAGATTTTCTAGGTAACATACATCTCAATTGTTTGGCATCTTTGGTTTTGTGCTTCAAGACTCTATTTCTAGAGGACTCAGGCAGACCTGGCTCGATTCTTATTCTGCCACTTTGTTGACAATATGATGTGGTGATGTTAGTCAACTTACTAGTGTCTCTGAGCCTCTGTTTCTTTGTCTTTAAGACAGAGAAAATAGCCAGGTGCAGTCTCTCATGCCTGTAATCGCAGCACTTTGGGAGGCAGAGACAAGAGGACTGCCTTAGCCCACAGGTTTGAGACCTGTCCAGGCAACATGGCAAGACCTCGTCTCTACAATAAATGAAAAAAATAGCTGGGCATGGTGGTGCACACCTGTAGTTCTAGCTACTGGGAAGGCTGAGGCAGAAGGATCACCTGAGCCCAGCAGGTTGAGGATATAGTGACTGTGAGCATGCCACTGCACTCCAGCCTGGGCAACAAAGTGAGACTGACTCAAAAAATAATAAAATAAATAAATCAGAGAAAATAATTGCTCTTATCTCAAAGTTAGTGTGAGGATTTATCAAATCTCTAGAAGAGTTTAAATAGTCTTTGGTCTAATACTCATGAAATTTTAGCCATTAGTAATTGTGGTAGCAGCAGCCATCATAGTAATATCATTATAATTGCAGAAGTGATCACTGTATTATTGCTATGACTCATTCTATGGTGAGAAATATGCTGTGGTCATTTACAGGACCTGTTCTCTCTAGACAATAAGATCTGTGTCATTTCTTCATCGTTTTCTCACAGAGAACAGGCTCTCTGAATAGGATGTCTTGACATGGTAGTCCTACATTAAGCAACCTATTCAGTCTTTGCAGACACGTATATGAAAAAGATCCCATGATGGGTAGACACACTGTGAGTTAAAGCACATCCCACAAGCGTGTCATGATGAGTTTTTCCGGTGCTCTGTTAAGTGCCA